TTAAGCATTTTTGTAATTATTAAACCAATGGATCCACTCCTCTGGATCACTTGTACTGCGTCAAGTAAAGACAAATGACGTCATATATGACACAACAATTGCTTCTAAATACTCGTCAGCATTGTTATTAAGGGGGACACATGGTCACATGACTGTTTAACTACGTCATAGTCTCTGTTTATATAAATGCAAAACGTGTAAACCATAAGTTCTTGTATAAATTTTTGACAACTTGTGTTTACTTTAATTACCAACCTATATAGAAAAATATAAAAAAAATAACATTCTTGTAAACATTAACAAATTATGAAATAGTTTGATTCCTCCTCTATTTCTCTAAACTGCGCGTCCAACACGTCGGTGACGTCATACTCGATCTGTTAGTACAACAAGATCATACTCGGTGATTACAGGGGCGGTATTATTATGTAAAAATAATCTTATTCAGTATATGATGAAATATTTTAAGAAACGGGGAACACAAAAGTTATTTTTGCATGACTGATGACGGAAATCTTATGTAGGTATAACTAATTTTGCTTATTCAGCTTACGTGTGACGTCAAAGTTGGTTTTTCCCGTAATTTAGAAATGTAAACATGACACGTTTTTGTCATGCTTATGTCTTCTTTAACGATGTCCTGTGCAATACTGAGGTCAGCTTCACCATTTGAAACTTTTACAGTTAATTTATAATGTGAATGACTTGCATTTCAACGTAAATTTAAAAAAAATATTGAATGATAGAATTTTTTGCAAATTTAGTTTTTTTTTTTTTGTTTTGTTTAAGTTGTCTTAAAAAGTACGTAATTTTCCCTATCCAGATGCAGTGTGACAGAAAAAAATTTGCTTTTTCGAATTTTAAACCCTGTCCATACTCTGAAATATTTTAAAAGATACATGTCCCCTTAAATATTTTTTATCTATGCTTAAAAAATCCAACTATGGACAGAGTAATAGACCCGAAAAAACTCCACTTAGATACTATAGGCATAGTATTTGTCAATCAATATCTCTAAAATAAGGTGAGAAACCTAATGATTTAACTGCTTTAAGATATGTGGGACGTATTTAATTAGAAATATACAAAATATGAAAAAAATGAATGACAGGATTTCTTTTAGCCCAAGGTCCTTCACCTCCTTAAATAGTGAAATTTTGCATTCCCTAATAAATAATAGGTAAGATAAATGTATGCAACCCGCGGTATAATTTATTTTTGTTTCATGTTTAATTTCTATTGACGTCACAATGATACTACAATTTGCCTCACAAATATGGACTCAGACTTTCCTTAACGTAGTTGAGCAATATCTTTCTTTTTTATCAAACACTGAGTTTGCAATACGTATACGAGTATTCTCTGAAACATTCCAAATGCGAGCGTTCAATACTGTTGATTTCTAAATTTAGGAATTAATTATTGCGAAATTTCGCGAAAAGCACCACTCGCGAAATAAAATTACTCGCTTTTATTTTAATGGGGCTGAAATCCATGTAAAATCTCTAGATCAACCGGCCACTCGCAAAATATTGTTCTCGTGATTTGGCAGCAGAGAGCCATTTCGCGATTTTAGGTAGTGGCATAAAATAAGGAATCTACAGTATCGAAAGCCCGTTAAAACAATTTATCACAGGAAGAAACAAGACCTTTCAGCTAAAACTGAAAGGCGGCTTTCAGTGACTTTTCAGTGGCCATTCAGTCACTGAATGGCAGGTACATTTCAGTGACCTTTCAGTTACCTTTCAGCCACAATTCAGGTACCTTTTAGTCACAATTCAGCGGACACATTTCAGTCATCTTTCAGTGACCTTTCCGTCGTCTTTCAGTGAAATTTCAGTCGTAATTCAACTACCTTTTCATCGGCTTTTCATTAGTTTATCAATAGTTATTACTTAATTTTTTAAAATATAATTAATCACACTTTTAAATGTGTTTTCTTATTGAATATAAAATTCAGATGAAGTAGAACTGGTAATGATTAGATGTTCAATCGTCTTTAAATTTTTTTGCTAGAATGTTAAATTGTGATTATTAACTACAACATTTATGTCTAAATATAATTTTATAAACATTAAAGATTACAATTCAACTGTGGACTCGTATAATCAAAAATCATTTTCGAATTTCTAATTTGTTTCATAAAAATTGATCTAGAAAAAGAAAATTATTTAAATGATGAAAAATAATATTCGTATCAAAATTAATTAACAGGAATAGAATTGTTTTATTTTTTTCTTTCTGTAAAATCTCTAAACTTGCAAATATTTTTCACAAGCTTATTCAATTTGATAAGTTGTTAAATGAATAAGCAGACAGTCAATCTGAAAAAAAATCGAGGATATCGGTCAAAATGCTCTGAAAATAAACAAGAAAAAAGTTTTCTTATTTTTTTCAACTCTAAAATAGTTTTTATTATTATCATTATTATTTTTATATTCACCTATCACAGTGTATAATGCGGTTAGTTTTCATGGAAATATCTGGTTATGAAAGACGAAACAGAATTAATTATTTATGCCTTTTCTGGAAGAAACTTTAATACTGTAAATTTTGTTTCTTAATTGTTAAAATCGCATAATATTTCAGCTTCTAAAGGATATTTTAAAATTATTTTAAAGAAACAGAGTTAATTATTTATGCCTCTTGTGGAAGAACCTTTATATTGTAAATTTTGTTCCTTGATTTATAAAATACACGATGATTTAGCATGTTAAAAGATATCGTTTTAAGAATTTACAACGTTTTCCGAGATGGAGATCCATCTTGAATAATTTCTTTGATAATTGTCATCATCCCGATAGGAGATGTGTAATTAATTAGTCAGCCCCAAATATCCGCACAATTAACATAGAATACAAAATGTATACAAGATATATACACATTGCCCAGCTCCTCGATTCAACAGGTGAACTGGGTGTCCCAATTCGATTTCCACAAATTTATTGATTTTAAATCACGCAGTATTCAATAAGACGCCCTGGCGTAATGGATAATGTCACGGACTATTAAAACAAAGATGGTTAGTTTTATGGGAACCATTTAAACCGCCAGACATTATTGAAATAGACTTTAAAGTCTTTCATAATATAATTTTTACGAATGAAAAATTATTTAAAATTGGGAAGACTGATTCTAAAGTTTGCGCTCTTTGTGATTCAGGGACTGAAGACATGTTCCACTTATTTTTAGAATGTAAGCAACTCCAAGATTTTAAGAACAATTTTGTAATTTATCATCTCGAAACATTTTTGAAAGACTGTGAAAATAGTGTATATAATACCTTGAGTTTTGAAAATATTTTTCTAAATGGTTTTACAAAGAAAATCAAGCATGTTAATTTTTTCTTTCTGAATTTTTTCCTTTCGGTGTGTAAAATTTCAATTTACAAAAGAAGACAAATGTATATACAAAGTGGAAAACTTATTGATGTTACAAGGTTGTGCAAATATATGTTGAGACATTATATTTCATATTATTTTTATCATTTGTGCATTAATGAAAACAGAAAAGAAATATTTTATAAAAAGTTTTTGAACAGAAATCATATTGTGAAAGAAACTGAAGGTATAGTTTTATTTATTTTTTAAACGAACATTATACAATTATGGACTCTTTCGGTGCTGAATATGGTTTGTTATTCACCAGAAAAATATCAATATTGACCGAGGCGATAATTGTTTTATTATATAGTCCGGATTTGAAAAAATAAGACGTTGAAGGCTGCATGACGATACCTTTCTTTCATTAACGAACCTCTGTATAAGAAAAATAATAATTAAAAAAACCGTACAGATTATACAACTTATAACTTCCGTGATTTCATTTCGCTGTGTGTAAAACATCGAAATGTTTGGAAAATAATCCTGCGAAAGACTCGCCTAACATTTTTCCTGCTCAGATACACAGCTGGCTCCGGTCGTTGTAACCTCATATTGTTTTTAACGTTGGGGTATTGATTGTGACGTCACAATGCCGCTGCACGCGCATTGACCCTCCGGTGAATACGGCTTCAAATCCAGTGAATATGTAGTGTTATGAACCGTTTGTGTTTGCATAGATTATATAGGGGCTATTTATAGACTATAAAATAAATGTGATTATTCCTTTTTAACACTGTTGTTACCTGGATTATAATTGTTATACATGTATGTAAATGAAGTTGAATATAAATAAAAAAGAAAAAAAAAGTCAAGGACTATCAAGCGGGAGAGCACGGTTCGATCCCGGCTCTCGGCGTGAATTTTTTTTCTTATATTCACTTTAAAAAAAAAGAATATTCGAAAATAGATTAATTTAATAACATTATAATAAGAAAACGTGAAATAAGGTTTCCCAGTTTAAAAATAAGCCGATTATTCAATAAAAAGATACAATTGAAAGATAACTGAAAGGCCACTGAAATGTATCTGCCATTCAGTCGACGGAATGGTAACTGAAAGACCACGGAAATGTCACGGGAAAGGAACTTTCAGTGGCCATTCAGTGGGCATTCAGTTACCATTCCGTCGACTGAATGGCGTAATTTCATCCTGTGTATGTTCTCTGTCCAACCGCGCCATGGAAATATTATGATGGGTAGTGGCAGGTAGGTAAAATGGGTGTATTGTCACAAAAAATTGAAATTATTTACTAATAATTTTGTAGTTATAAGCCTCAATAGAAACCTCAATAAGCAAATCATAGCGCTTTGTAGAGCAACTGGAATGATGTGAAATTGAACACAACCAGAACTGACACTGATATTTAATTCAAATACTGATTCTGAAATATTCTCATTAGATTTGAGCTATTTAATCAAAATAATTAATATAAATTAAAGGGAACACGTTCTAGCTATATAATAAATGTGTAATTGAACTTTTATCGGTGAATATTAGCAATCCTTGGCTGTTTAAATGCACTCGCAAGCTCGTGTATTTGTACAACCAACTCGTGCCAATATTAACTAATATATATTCAATAACGTTATAGTATTGAGAATGAATTATTTTTACCTATTAATGACGTTTAAACATCATCAGTGTCTGCTTCACTGAAGTACCATACTCAATAGTAGGATACCAGGGATACGTCCATTTCTTCGGAGACCAGGGTCCGTTTAGGAAGGCGACATAACAATTCTTAAACCACCAACCTCCTTCCCAAACAGCAGCACAGTTACCTCCATACTGGTCATTATCCCTGTCTGAGGTAGTAAAGAACATCCCAGACAGATGACCGTTAGAATCTCCAGGGTTCATCATACTGTCACCTAAAATTAAAAAAAAAATAAACAGCCACTTATTTCAGTTTATGTTATTTTACTGCCAACATTTAAAACTATTTTAATGGATTGTGCATACCGTGAAGGGGAATTTAAAACAAATCTTACCAACATAAAAATAAAATCACATCATACAGTATTAGACAAATATTATAAAATAGATATTATACAATTGATTGTGTTCTTATTTTCTGTTATGATCATCTCTTTAATTTTGAATTCTCCTTTATATTTGGGTAAACAGGAAAGAAGACACGAAAACTCTAAAATTTACACAAAATATATAAAAGTATTTGTCAAATTGAGCATTTATGAAATGTTCAGGTGATCAGGTCTCTTATGTAAGTATTTTATTCACCAATCAAAAATTCTGAAATTACAGAATTTAATTGATGTAAATTAATGTAAAGTCTATCTCAAAAAGAATTTTCAAAAAAGGTTTCTGTAATAAAATAATAAAATAGATAAAAGTAAAAAAAAAAAATGACTGAGGGGTGAGATATGAAATTTTCGAGCCATTATTTGAACTTGTTGGATTTATTATCAGTATTACAGATATTATTATTTTAGAAACTTGCGATTTTGAACTTTAAAATTTTAGACGCCAAAATGACAACTTTCAGAAATGATAGAATTGTGAAAACGTTTATTACGTTTTATTAGTGCTTGAATAGGAATATCCTTTCCAAACCCACACCCAATCAACTTTGTCAAAATTAACACGCACCCACTATGTATCCATTTGTTTTCCTGTCATATTTGGAGTAGGCAATACCAAGTTAGCAAAAACATAGTTTGTAATATAATATAAATTTAAAACATGTCTTTGGAAAATTTCTAGACCAGCGCTTGGCTTCGGATTTGCGCCACATTACCAGTACTAGGTTTTCCTTATCACTCGAGACCTTTAGTTACAAGAGGTTCATTACATGTACGTATAATATATACGTAACGTTTCCATCCTAGCCGTGAGCTTAAAACCACTTTAGTTACAAGTTCACTGGAATATATCTAGTCAACATCTGAATGGAAGTAACTACTGTTACGTGTAATTGATAATACGTCGTCGAGTTGAAGGCAACAACAAGTGTCGTCTTCTTCTCGTGTATGTTTTTGAATAAACTCTGCTTTATATAAAAATAAAAAAAATAGGTCTGCTAGTTTCGGGGCGAAATTGGTACCAATGGGAGTTCAGATTGTTGGAAGACTTTTATCCCCAAATATTACATAGAAATTGCCAATCAGAAACTCAAGCATCTTTTTAATATTTACTTCAGAGTATTTGTGAGTACAATCAGAATGTTTTTTAACGAAATACTTTCGTAAATGACCAATGATAAGGTAAGTAAATTTACGATTTCAATTTTTATTGAGCAGCTGTGTGCGATGTCAAAAAGCCTGGATTTTACTTCATCGTGGGGAAAGTCTAAAAAGTGTTGAAACTTCTTTATGCTTCGCAGTAAAACGGGATATCGACTTGGTGAATATGTACAAGTTTTCTTTTTTTTTTTTTTTTTTAATTCCGCTCACTTCATTTGTTTTGTTTTTTTTTGTTTTTTGTTTTAGCATTGAAAATCTACTCTACTTGCTAGATAAGGGGCAATTTAATTTTGCTAAATTCCTTATCTTAGAAGCCACAATAGGTTACAATAAATTTCCTCAGCTAATGCCAGATGGACCAAGATTGAATTTTTCTGCACTCAGTGATGAGCAATGTTTCTCTTTCTTCCGGTTATATCTAGTAATATTTGGCTGTCAATTCATAAAAATTTTCAAAAATTAACTTCCGGAACAATCTTGTCTTTATATGTAGTTATTGTAAAAATGTCTCTTATATAACATATACATGTAGTTTGAGCAAATGTGACAATTGGCGTATGGTTAATACTTTGGGAATTCCCAGATAAGTTGTGTGCAAAACTAATAGCACAGTTACTGGACTAAAGGTATATGGATCACTTGAAGATTTGCCTACCCAATCAGATTAGCAGATTTAGTTCCAGTATTTCGAAGGAGGATTATTTGAATTTCCCATCTTTGAAGAAACAAGAAATAGAGTTACCGTTCTTGGAAATGAAATAAGTAGCTTTTATTTTTTTAGTATTATATAAAAACACATTTCAATTTTAAAAATGCTTCAAATAGTTTTTTTTACGTGCAATAATTTTGTTTTAATTAAAAAGAAAATAAACATTTATAAAATAAATACATGTACACAGGTACAGGAATGTAAATCCGAACGTCTGGTATTAAAAAACATGCTGTGTCGATCATCGAAATCTATTTCCGATAGTGTGTAACATGAATTCCTTTTTTAAAAATGCATTCATTGCTATCTGCTAAAACTTTCGCAATTAATAGGTGTCTTCTACCTATTCCCACTTTTTAAAAATCTCAGTTCTACCTATTTCAACTTGCAAATAACAATAGATGTTTAGATAGTAGTTGATTTGTTTTTATAGTTATTAGACTAATTACTTCCAATCTTAGATTTACCTGTATTTTGTACATTTTAAGACAGAAAATAAATAGATTTATGAAAAAATGATTTATTTCAATTCAATATATTTTAGAAAATAAAAAAGTTATTTAAAAACACTTTAATATCTTGATTTTGAAAGATTTATTAAAAAAATGCATTTTAATAGCTGAATTTTAGAAAACACAATTATAAATAGGTTATTGGGAAAATATGATTTAATTCAGTTAAAAACCTCTAATTTTTCTTTCAAATATTAGTAAAAAGTCTGATTTACATGTATGTAAATTTTAAAAAGCCAATTTACCTGTCCTCTATTCCAACAGGTGTTCAATAATCACTGTTTATACATTGGATATATGTTTATACACTTAATTATTTGTTTACACAAAAATTCCACCTATTCCCACATAAAATCTTACCTTTTCCTACCTGATTTTCAAAAAGTGGGAATAGGTAAAATAATTTTCAAAGAAAGTTTGCATTGTTTGAAGTAGGGCTCATCGATCTAATATCGTTGTAGGCGAACTCAAGTTTAACAACAACCGCTTTTGAGGCGAAGCAATGATTAAATCAAACAGGAATGAAAATTATAATTACAGTTGATGTTAAAAATTATTGTTTAATATTTAATTCTTTAATTTCGAGTACCTTAAGGTGATCTGGATAGCGACACAACCAATTAGCCGCTTCACTGACCACATGTACCTGTGGCGGTATATCGAGATAATTGACACTTTGAAATGATGTTTATTGTGAAAACAGGGTGGCGGATGGCGGTATGTTAATTTGGCGTTATTAAGAGAATTTATATAGCAGGAAAAACGTTCTTGGGAAATCATGGCGGTATTGCGAGAATGGCGATGGATCGAATGGCGATAATTTGAGAATTAACTGTAGTTTCAGCTAATATGTGACAATTGGCGTATGGTTAATACTTTGGGAATTCCCAGCTAAGTTGTGTGCAAAAATAATAGCATGGCTACTGGACTACAGGTATTTGGATCAGATTAAGGAAGCGATTGCAAGGCGTCACGTGATCGATTCATGTGATGTTTAAAAAAAGAAGATTTACGGTAACCATTTCCAGAATAACGGCTGAATAAGGAGCGTGATTATGATTACGCCCATGACAAAAGATCTTCGTGGCAATGTTTTTAAAACAGAGAAAGAATAAGATAAAGATGTGATGTTGCAGACTGTTGGTGAGCGTCGACGCAGATTTTTTTATCCCTGTGTTTTTTTTTTTTTTTCGTTTTGACACGTCTACCTCTTGTCGTAGTTCTGAACACTGAAATCTATTTCATGAATAAATTTAATTCATATCTGGATCTTTATATCCTCTAGTTTTATTTGAAATATTAGAATTTTATTTGAGATTGGTTTCTTTCCTATAGGATTTACATCTATGAATAGATATTCACTTCCTACAAGCTTCAGACGGCGTGATTTTCTCAGTGATTATAATGAATATAGGCCTATATGGATGGACAGATAAACGAATGCGATTTTCATATATACGTGTATAGACCAGTTTGAGGTCGCATGCTGGACATGAACGTATTTTTAAAAATATCGCAGAGGAAATTGTTTTCCTCTCTAAGATCTTCTCTAGCATTTTCAACTCTTACATCGACCATTTAAACATTGAATCTTCGGCACATTATTGCGTAAACATTTGTTGTGGTAAAATGTTTTATGCGTCGTATTTGGTAAAAAATTGAAACTTAACACACTTCTTCTGACAGAAAAGAAAAGTTTCTTTTTGCAAGTTTTCGCAAATCTAGCAAAAAATACGCATGTAAGAATGACAGACGAAACTAAGAGAGGTTTTATTCTGACAAACGAGGTACTACGGAGGTACCAGGTATACCAGAGAGAGAAAATTATTTTGAGCATATACATTTATATATATATATATATATATATATATATATATATATATATATATATATATATATATATATATATATATATATATATATATATATATATATATATAAACATTTCAACTCATCATGCTCAAGGGAATATATTTGAAAAATGAATTTAATTTTTTAAAATTCACGAGGACATGAACAAAGACGCTTCACCTCAGCATATTTCATGAACCGTGTGAGCATGAAGCGCAAATTTATAAATGTCATTCAACGATTATATTTTGAAACAAAACAGTTTGCACTATAGTTCTGACGTCAAGTGTGGCATTATGACGTCACAATGGAGATATGTAGGCTTACCTAGTTTATGAAAAAATGAATTATTTTCTAACTTGCAATGAACTTGAAGGAAAAATATTTGCAAATGTAAATATTAAATAGCAAATCACTAAAATTTGTCAAATAAGATAATAGTTAGTATTTTTATATACAGTATATATTGCAGGTACAAGTTCTCTGAAATAACCTATTCATTCAATGTGTTCAAGTGACTCCCCCACCCCCCTTTCCGATTCCAAGTCACAGCGCAGAGAACTCGATGAGTGTTCAGAGCATGAAAAATTTGGCCC